TGTAAGTGCGGTACCTTGTGTTCTAGTGAGTGTGTGTAAGTGCGGTACCTTGTGTTCTAGTGAGTGTCCTGTTGTGTTCTAGTGAGTGGGTGTAAGTCCGGTACCTGTTGTGTTCTAGTGAGTGCTGTGCGGATTGGCGAGTCTCTGTTGATTGTGGGCTGTGGGTGTGTTGTTGGTGGGTCTCTTATAAACGCGAGAGGTAGGTATGTGTTAACTCGTTTGCTGTTTTTCGGCTGTGTGCTCTCACAGGAATGGCGCACAAAAGCTCCTTGGTGTCGTGATTACCATTGGCCAGGCGGTTGCGTACGTCTTGTCTGGCATGTACGGTGATGTGCGCGACTTGGGCGCAGGCAATGCTATCTTAATCATTGTCCAGCTGTTTTTCGCTGGTATTATCGTCATCTGTCTGGATGAGCTCTTGCAGAAAGGTTATGGACTTGGCTCTGGCATTTCCCTGTTCATCGCCACGAACATATGGTACGTCGACAAAGCCGACTGGATTGCGGACCTGAAACCTGAATTGCTTGTTTTTTTTTTTTTTTTTCCCGAGCGGGAAAGAGTACAGCATATTTAACGACCTGTAAACTCCATACGAGGAATGCTTTCGCGCGCAGTGTTTCTTCTCTTGATATTTTTATGGCTTTATAGCCGTTCGAAGAACCCTTGGTTATCGTCGTATTCGTCGTAGCAAACCCTCTCTCAGTCATTCAGGGTTAACACTTCATTTTTTTCTCCCGATGTTGTTTCTCGTTGCCCGCTCACAAAACACGCGCTAGTTTGCTCTGTGATGTTCCACTTCCTTCATTCTCCCGAGCTGATGGCGCGTCGATGGCCTTGCCACATATGGGGCATCCAGGTTTTGTTGTTGTTTGCTCGACTGTTCATGTGTATGTGTGTGTGCGTGCGTGTGTGCGTGTGTGTGCGTGTGCGTGTGTGTGTGTGTGTGTGTGTGTGTGTGTGTGTGTGTTGGTTCAGACTGTGAAAAAATCGCTTTTCGAACGCACATGGCCACGGGTGATTTTTACGTTTTTCTCTCACCGGAACAAAGCGAGTGCTTGTTAGTTTCTAGTTGACCACGGTTTTATTCTCGCATTGGAACAAAGTGGAATATTTGATATTTGTCCCTAATTTATATTAGGGTATTTTTGTTATTTACCGCGCGTAATACGGTGCTTCACGTAGTGTTTGTGGATTCGGGGGGGGGGGGGGGGGGGAGAGAAAAGGCGCACCCACGTATACCGGTTTTATGTGACAGTAAGAGCGGGGTTGAGGTTGGTTGGCGGTGCGGACGAGGGTGCTGACGACGAATCAACTCGGCGAATCTCGAGTAGTATTAGGTTGTGTTTGTGGCTCCGCGGATGGTATTGAATGCGTATGCCGACTGGTGTTGTTGTGATGAGGAGGAGACCGCGAGCATGATTTTTTTTTGTTTTCTGCCAATTATATGGGGAGTCCTATCTCACTCGCACGAGTTCTTTTTCGACGCCTACTGCCGTCTCCCGCCGAACACAACGCACCTTCATTATGACTGCATCCAACTGGAAACATGGCTAGTATACATTCACAGAATATTACTTATGTTCGGGGGAAGACGGTCGGTTGTTTGGTTTGACAGTCCCCGGTCGGTGACGCTGAGTGAAACGATTGTGATAGGGAATCACAGAACGAGTTTCCTCTTTCTGAATCTGATTTCGTGCTCGGCGCGCAGTTATCGACGGAAAAAAGCGAGAGTGAGGGAACGTCGAAGTGGAAATCGATTCATGTTTTTGATGGGGTACAGGTTATAGGCTGTCCCAGTAGAGAAGTGCTCCTCTTTGTTGGACCTCGCTGCACTACTCTCGACATGCACAAAAGACAAATATTGGCGGTATATCTTTCCATATTCTAGCGGAAGATTCACTCTCGTTTTGCACATTTCTCGAGATTAGTGGAGCGAGGCCCTTTATTAGTAAGTCTGATGGCCTTTTGCCGCCATAGGTGCCAGCTGATCGATTGTTTTTTACTTTAGTTGATTTGATTGCTGACCCTTGAAAATGACGGCGACCGACTATAGTTACCGTCATGCTGCAACATATCGCCCAATCGACATTATAACGTGTGCAGACCTTATTCTGTTCCATATGCTTATGCTGCTGCAACATATCGCCCAATCGACATTATAACGTGTGCAGACCTTATTCTGTTCCATATGCTTATGCTGTTAAGACGTTGGGCGTTACGTCGGGGGGAAGAAAAGGTGTATATAGTCTATACGGGGGTGTATTTAGGTGTTTGGATTGGCAGGAGAGTTGGGAGTCGCAGGAAGGATCAGGTGCCTAGTCTCGTTCAGGGAGTTTTGTTAGGCTGCTCGGTTCATTCTCTGATACGATCAGCTGTAGACAGCACGGTCTGGGAACGATGTAGACATCCGGAACACACTTATTCCCTTTGCCTTTGTGTTAAGGAGGAATGGCTGGGGGGAAAAGTTTTCTTTGCAATGGCTGAGGGAGCAAATTCCCATTGCCATTGTGTGAGGGAGGAATGGCTGGGGGAACAAGTTTGCGAGGCGAAGAGGAATATCTACTAGTTCATGATCGATTGAGTTTTTTATGACAGACGACCAGTCCGCAATGGCCCCCCAGCTACGCTACTCTTCGGATGTGAGAACGACAAAATATAGCGAGGAGTGTGTGTTTTCCACCTTCTGGAATGAGGCACGCGCAGTTTCACACATTGGGAAGCAATGCAGCGAGGCCGAGTGTGTTTTGTACACCCGACCTGCGTTACCTGAACGCAGGCACGGTGATTACTGACGCACAGGCTGTTGTGGACTCGTAGTAGGGTAGGAAATTACGGTGTAGGTAAAGGGCCTCGCTGCACTACTCTCGACATGCACAAAAGACAAAAATATTGCCGGTGTATCTTTCCATATTCTAGCGGAAGATTCACTCTCGTTTTGCACATTTCGAGAGTAGTGCAGCGAGGCCCAAACTCTCTTTCATGCTTCGTCATACTGAAACATGTTTAAGCGGGATTGGCATGTGGAGGTCGAGGTAGCTGTGGATTTCTCTTCTTCTCAACGATGCAGCTATGACTGAGGTTGATGCTTTTTTTTTTTTCCGTGCTCCTATATTCCTGTCTGTCGCTGAAGATTAACTACTTGGGGGAAGAGGGGGGAAAAGAGGGTGGAGAGGAATGAGATTGGGTATTTTAGGCTTAACGTAAAAAGGGTGGGCAGGGGGGAAGAGGCGGGGGGAGAGGAATGTGATTTTGGGTATTTTAAGCTTTCTTAGGGTGGGCGACAATCCCCAAGCGAAAACAACTTTTCGCGATGGTGTTAGGTATTTCAAGGATCGGGTAGCTTTCCTCATGGCCCCGGGGCAGGGTCGATGGCAGTCTCATTAATGGTCGTTCATTTATGGGTTAGGGACGATAGGCAGACGGTTAGCTTAACGGTCGTGGGGAGTGCCCGCAAATTGAGCTTATGAAAAATCCGACACTCGGACGTGTGGATAGCTTTCCGCGTATGATGAGGCAGGGGGCCTTCGATCCTCTCTCCTTTAGCCGTACGCGGAGAGCATAATCGAGAACGGTGGTGGTGGTTGTTCAACTGATGACTGTCTCCAAGTGGTGGGTTAGATTTTGGAATCATGTCCATGTTCCTGTCCATGTTCATGACCACCGGGAGTTGTCCCTCCGAAGTGTGGGCGTGCAATCACGGGAAACGAAAATCATGTCCAGGTTCATGTCCAGGCTTTTGTGGCCTTGTCTGCAGGTGGTCTAGGTTTTATTATTTATTGTTGTGGTTTACGTGATGGGGACGTGACCGATTTTGTGCATTTTACGTTATACAGGGTAAAGGGCCTCGCTCCACTACCACAGCAAATGTGCAAAACGAGAATGAATCTTCCGCCAGGACATGGAAAGATACACCTTTATATTTTCTTGTTTTTTTGTGAATGTGGTGAGCAGTGAAGCGAGGCTCACAGTCATTACTGTATTGGAATAGAAAAGTAACTCGTGCACTCTGTTTTTCACATCAGTGAAAGTTCCTAAGTGCGCACTCTTGAACGGTCGATGCGGAATTTGTGGATTGCAGTGGCCGATCTCCTCAGTATTAGAGGCGAAGGGATTGCCCTTCAGTCTTGGTGCGTATATAAAACGTTTGCTCCTTTTTTTTAACGACGTGGACTAATAGTAAAGCGTATGTTTGTGAACAGTGGGAAGAGAGAGGGAGAGAGGGAGGCACTAGATGCCTCTCGCCCTTTCGCTCTCGGAGAGTCGTTGCTACACTTCGATGAAGTTTGTGATAAATGACGGTGAGGAAAACAAGAGGTCACGTGGGCTGTATGTAACGGAGGACGATGTGCTGATGAGGATGGTATGATCGTCGTCGATCAGGGATTCGAACGCGCGGGCATTAAAGCATGATACCGTCCGGTCGAGTGTAGATACATATAGATCCCTTGGATAGGTCTTGGGGGCATTAGAGCATGATACCTCGATCTTGGGGGCAATTTCGAAACTCCGAGTGTAGATAGATATAGAGATACGGTCCGTTCGGCGCAGGGGAAGACACTCGGGGAGCATGATGTGTTCTCACTTGGCATTTAGACGGTCGTCGTGCGTAGTCCAATACGCGTGTTATTCATTGATAAGGCACTAACAAGATGGTGGTGGTAAAAGGTAATTCATTGATAAGGGACGAACAACATGGTGGTGGTAAAAGGTAATTCTTTGATAAGGCAGTAACAAGATGGTGGTAAAGGTAATTCGTTGATAAGGCAGTAACAAGATGGTGGTGGTAAAAGGTAATTCATTGATAAGGCAGTAACAAGATGGTGGTGGTAAAAGGTAATTCATTGGTAAGGCAGTAACAAGATGGTGGTGGTAAAAGGTAATTCATTGATAAAAGCAGTTTGATAAAGCAGTTTGATAAAGCAGTAACAAGATGGTGGTGGTAAAAGGTAATTCATTGATAAGGCAGTAACAAGATGGTGGTGAAAGGTAATTCATTGATAAGGCAGTAACAAGATGGTGGTGGTAAAAGGTAATTCATTGATAAAGCAGTAACAAGATGGTGGTAAAAGGTAAATGCATTGATAAGGCACTAATAAGATGGTTGTAAAAGCTAATTAAGTGGGGGACTTCCAAGTGCGGGAGAAACGAGAGTTTCTATGATAGGTGGGATGCGTTAGAGTAGTAGTGATATATATTGCCACGAGGAAAGCTGCCCTGCCTATATCTCTCATCTATTCCCTTCTCCAGGCGCTCAGTTTGATATGCAGACTCAGAGTTCATCACCTTGTGGAACAACGCCCTTTTTCCTATTTAACCTACGTAAGGTCTTTACCCAAAGAGCGCCGGTCGTCATAATAGCTGTATTTGGGATACCTTTCCATCTAAACACAGCTCTAATGTGCCCCGTGGAACACTGCCCTGCCTATCTCATCTCCCTTCTCTGGGCCCTCAGTTTGATACGGATAATAATAATCAGAGTTAATGGCCTCGTGGAACAACGCCCTTCTTCCTGTTTCACCTACCGTACCCAATAGAACGCCGGTCGTCGTAGCTGTATTCGGGACACCTTTCCGTCTAGATACAGCTCTAATTTGCCCCGTGGAATGCTGCCCTGCCTATCTCATCTAAGACCCACACCTTGACACCTAAGATTCCATTCCCTTCTCTAGGCGCTCAGTTTGATACGCATAATAATCAGAGTCAATCACCTTGTGGAACAACGCCCTTCTTCCTATTTCACCTACCGTCTTTACCCAATAGAACGCCGGTCGTCATAGCTGTATCGGGACACCTTTCCATATAGATACAGCTATACTTACTGGGCGTTTCTTTCGGGCGAAGACGGGGGCCTTGTCGAGTCGCTTAGTCACAATGTGTTTAGCATGGAAAGGTGTCCCGATACAGTCAGGGAATTCGAATCCGAAGATGCGGATTCTGATCGGGATGGGATAGAAAGAGCGGGTGTGTGGCGGTTCAAAAGGAGGAGAGAAGTTGATGAGCTGACGAAGAATGACCAGGTGAGGTCGATCGTTCGATTAGCGTGTATATGAAGTGGATATGGTCTTCTGGCATTCGAACGAGAGAGGTGTGCGTCGTAGTTGAGGTCCAACAGGTGGGGGAAGAGATAGGGACATGTACGAGCGGTGTGCAGAGTTGGGAGAGAGAGGAAGAGGAGAGGGTAGTGGGGTTGTCAGTTGAGGGGGAGAAGGCTGAAGAACGTTGCAGTTTCTGGAGTATGTGGTTAAACCACCGTTAAACCATGCGGCATGGTTTGATCACGGCTGCTACTGGATTCCCTGCCGATGGAGATGGGAGCAGTAGCTGCTAGCACCGAATTCGGTGGTGGTAAGAAGAATGTGGTTATATTTTTTTTTTTGTAGGTTTATACGTCTTTTGTTTTTTTGGTAAAGTTTTACATAAGTCGCATCACATTTGTGCGGCCATCACGAGTCTGTCTGTCCTCCCATGTCTAAACTGGCGGATGGTTCAAAATGCATGCTGTTAACAGCTCGATGGACGGACTATGAAAGGTATTGTGTGTGTGTGTGTGTGTGTGTGTGTGTGAGAGAGAGAGAGAGAGAGAGAGAGAGAGAGAGAGAGAGAGAGAGAGAGTAGCGTTCACGTCTATTTGTAGACGGCCATCACACGTCTTAACGTATATGTGGCGGTTGGTGGTGGAAGCATCGGTCACTTATGTTCCAATCTTCGAGTGAGTGAGTTCCAGCATCGGTCACTTATGTTCCAATCTTCGAGTGAGTGAGTTCCAGCATCGGT